ATCAATTATAAGTGATCATAATTAAATATTTTGTAGCTAAATGAAATTTTATTTCACCAGTTTCAATGTTTTTATTTTATAAGTACCTAAAAATAAACAAGCAACTTTTGCATATAGATTGGAATATTTTATACTATTTGATAATTTATTTAAGACTTTTAACTAATAATTAATTGAGTCTAAAATAATTTAAATGATTTCATATTAACTATTTTTTTWAAATTAATAATATTACTATCATATTTTCAATGTCTTAAATAATTAAATTTTAAGTAGTAGAAAAAAATTGTACTTTCCTTGTACCTATATTGTATTCAACATTTGGAGATTTAATTCCATTTCGGCTTGGTTTTTAGCATAAATTAATTTGCGGAACTGTAAGGTTCGTTATAAATTTAAAAACTACGAACACTTTAATTGTAAATTGTTTTATAGGCGTAATATTTATAAATGTATAATAGGTATATCAGCGTGTATATTATCTTAAATCTAAATATTATATGTAAAATTAAATGTTCATTTCGATGAGGTTTATAGACTTGGTAACTACCTACTGAACCAATTACCTAGCACAAAATGTGCACACAAAATATTCCTTGGAATTTCGGGAGGGTTTATAGCTGCATTTTATATCCCTGTTTGGTTAATATAATATACTCGCGTGAATTTAGATTTAGTTTAAACAATCGAAAAAAATGTTATTGTAATTTCAGAGATTGCTTTTTTAGAGATGCCAGAAAAGTTTAAAGTAGTATTTCACAACCTTTATATTATGGCGGTACAATTAAAATATTTCATACTTTATAAAACATATTAGAATTTTTTAGAATGATTTTCTGATTTATCTTTAAAACTTGTCAAGGAATTTAGATGAAGTGAATAGTTTTTTTGTTGTTTTTAAATTATCTTTATCTGTATTCTATCTCTTACTGCTTATATCTGTTTGATAAATAATGTAATATAAGTACTTTGAAACACATTTTGACTTACCGGTGACCCACCAGTTGAGAAWCACTGGTTTAGAGTGTGGTTTGAATCTATGAAAATAAGAAAAGTATTATATACAATCCATAACAATCGATCTAATTCAGAATAAAGTAGATTTACCCGTGAAGTGATGCGTACATTAAAACCGAAATACAAGTATATCAATTTAGCGCCATATTTTTAATTTGATCTTCTTTCCYTGGCGATGATAGATTTTTCAAACATAAACGAAATTTAAATTTTAAATTTATTTTTCTATGTATTTTTAGTTATATCTGCTTAATAAATTAAAATGTGGAAACTTGAAACTATTATTAAGTTTCCGAATAGGTGTTTCTACATAAGTTGAACTTTATGTGTTACAAACTTTTTAAATTATTTATCACTCTTTGCATTAATGGATTATTATACAAGAATATAGAATTATTTACTATTATTGACATACAGTGAAATTATTGTAATAAATGTTTCGGTACGTAATTTATCTTTTATAATTATTTTACTACAATAATTAACTCCTGTATACATCGTGTACATTGTTGACAAATATAACAATAATAATCATTTTATTCTTTAATGGCCATCGATAAATATAAATAGTATAAATGACGGGGTCTTTTTTTACTTGTAAGACTTCAAAGGCCTGTTGTCATACATAACAAATACAAACATTTATTTATAACATAAAGGTACAATTTGTTCGTTTAATTTACCACGAGCTGTTGTTTCAGCGACTCAATTTATAATATTATATATCGCTCATATACGGCCCGAGCCAATAAACCATCTTGTATATATAGACACARCGTACGCTGCATGTTTGATCAGCGGATCCAATTGCCCCCGGGTTTCGTGTGAATAGGGGAGTGGGAGTAGTGGTGTACGGGGAGCCTATTAAAACCTAATCACGTATAGATACATACACCGACGGATGATTCTGCTGTTGTTGTCATTTGATTCCATGTTGTATAATACCCAACCAGCTATTATATACATATATATGTATTTACACTGCTGTCAACGGTCTTTTTTTTTTCATTTTCGGTTGCTCCTCCCCGCGGTTCGCGCCCCCTCGTTATAGACTTACGTGTATAGATACATTTAACCGAATTATGTGGCGTGCTCAGTATAAATATTAGCCGGGTATGTTTTCTATTCTTACGATACACACGCACACCGCAGGGGGGAACAATATATAATATTACGACGACGACGRCGACGGAGGCGATGATATTATTATTATAAAAGAACCGTTTTTTTTTTTCCACTAGCGGTTTTCTGAATTAGAAAACCATCCGACACACCATCTGCCCCCGTGCTTTGGTGCTGCTGTTACAGGGTCCCATTGTCGCGGGGCCCCGCGTTGCAATGGTAGGTAAATACTGCGGGGACCGTCATGGCCACGCTACGAATATACGCATATATACGCACGCGGACAATAGTCATAACAAAAAAAAGTATACATAAGAAGACGAACAATAAAAAAAGACCACGAGGGTGTGTATGTGTGTGTGAGTGTGTGTTTATACGTAATATTTAGCTCGCGGTGCTTGACAAAAAGCTGCCGTCGGCGGTAGACGGGGCATCGTGACAATACAAAGCGGAGAGGGATGGGGCAATTCKGCTAGGGGGTGGAGCCGCAGAGAATGTATTATTTAAGTTTATGATAAAATAATTGTGTCGTGTTTGAATTAATATTAATATTATTAAATTAAATTCGTCCTCGATATATTTAATTCGACAGTTGTACACTTGTACGTCCTACTCGCGTATTATGTTACGCCACTGTATACCATATATTAGGTATATACACTATACTTACCTTTTCAACCTTAAAAAAATATAATATTTCGATTGTATGGTACACACACCTATACCTACATAGAATATAACCAATGTATACATAGATCAAGGTCATAGGCACGAAAATAACAATTAGGAAAATACACAAATGTTTTCAAAAAATACGTTGCTACTCTATATAGAACCGTGTTAAGTATAGGTACTATTATAATACCTATTTATATRTTAGGAGTAATCAGAAAATCCTGTTAAAAACGTCTATYACAATTTTTTGACATACGCAAATAATAAAGGGTGATTCACCTACAAGTCGTTCATCATTATAATGGTGTTCAAATTCTAAAATATAAATAATTTCGTACCGTATTTTTTAGAATATAAGGAATATTCAGGGACAATTATTCAAATCAGAAACTTAATTTTTTTTTCAAATTGAATCAAACATTTTTCATTGTAAATTGTTAATCAGATGTTTTTTTTTGAAAATGTTTGTATATCTAAAACCAATTTTAACCAATAGTTACAGGTTTGTCAAAATATATATAACGTACCAACTAGTCAATATATATTACCTAGTCTCAGATAATTTTTAGAAATAATGAAAATACTACTTGTTCGAATTCGATTTAACCACAAACAAAATRCACGAACATTTAAAATAAAACATAATTTGCTTAATAATTCACAGCAAAAAGTATTGTTTACATTTAAAAAAAAGATGTTGGACTTAATATAGAGTCCTAAGATTAAAAAAAATCCAAGAATATAAAAATATGATCTCCCAACTATAGTTCTAAATTCAAAAATTAAGAATTTTAATAAATAAATTATTAAAGGGAAAGATGGCAGTGGAATGATGAGTGACCTTGTATAATTTAATTTTGAATTATCTTTATAAAAAAACACCGTTTCGTTGAAAAGCTTATACAATTTTTTTTCTTGTCAATTAACATACGTACCYATTATAATGATGTTTTTTGATGTATCAAAAATCATTACCAACGATTAACTCACGTGCAAATGTTATTTGTTATTTTTGTTGAAGCTAAATCCAGAAAATGCCAGAAAAACATTTCACTCAACTGGAASCTGCTCCAAAAGTAATATTTTCTTAATATATAATTATATCTAAACAGTTAAACCATAATTTCTATATTATTTATTAACTTTAAAATACTATATAATATAATATATATAATAATAATATTTATTAAAAATTGATGATGAAAAATAATATCATATTCATAATTTTATTAGTGGTTCGTTAATTTAAACATTGGATAAATTAATGAACCAATATTATTCGATTATATTAATTTCATATGATGGTCTAGGAATATACCTACAACATTTTAAAATCAAAATATTTAACGAAATATACAATTAACTTAGCCTATTACATATATAACTATACTTTATGTAGTAAATTATATTAGTAAAAAATCTTTCCAATGTATTATTTATATATAATATATTTTTGTTGTTGGTAGAATGTACACGTTTAATAATAATTATTATGATRATTTTCTGAAATCGATTCAAAAACAATTCTGGTTKGCTAGCCGCATGCGCATGTTCTTCTTAGTAAATAGTTGCATAATACATACTTTCCATACATATACATCTTATTTTACATAATATAATATTATAATAGTATAATACGAATAAACAATTATATTTAATAGGTATATAAAGGTACATGTTATGCACCCTAAACTGGTAAATATAAAAGCCATGACAGACTTTTATAAATGCATTCGCATGTGCTTCACCCTCATCCCTCGCTCTCTTATGTATACATCATATTATACATAAACATAATATTCAGCAGCTAGCAAATCGTTATTCACAGTGAAGTCGCGTGTCGGTCGTAATCAAAACACGATTCAAAATCGCGGTTGCGGKTAATTAGTGCGTAAATCGCGTACAAAAAATAACATAGTTCAAAGRGATTATTGTGCGTGTTTCCTTTGCGGCGAAGTATTTTCGTATTTTTTTCTGCGGGGGATAGTGAAAAATGAAATGAAAAAATACCCCCTTAACGAATACATTATTGCGGCATAGTGCAATTATATTTTTATCGTTCCACCCACCACCCGATCCAAAAAACCGACGTCGGCGGTGGTTCAAGTGTATATATATATATACATGCTATTATACAATAATATACGATCGTGCATACATAGCAAATTCTGTCGTGTAAGTCGTTTTCTTTTGAAGTCGCTAATGAGAGTTTGTCCTCCGCCGTCGCCGTCACGCCTGCGTGCCTATATAATATGTAGGTATATAGCCGTATACGATTATGTATAATATTATTATAATACGTGCGACGTTCTTATATATATAATATAGTTCATGGTKGGAATAGTGGTAAAATCTGTGACTGAAAAAAAAAAAAAAAAATATGTGGTTTTTATTTTTTCCGCTATAACGTATGCAACGTGCATTTAAACGATCTCTGACGGTTTTTGCACTATTTATATATATATAATATATGTATATATACAAGTTTGTGTATTATATTATATTATATTATACAGAGGGCCGAGTCAAGTGCCCACTTGCTTTGCCGTCGCATGTGCGTCGCGTGTACGTGCACACACGCGTTTTGACGCCGCTTTGTAGGTAGGTATATAATATAATACATACAATAATAATGATATATTATGGAAGTACGGTTAGTATAGGTATTATATGATGATTATTTGTATGCCGCGTTCAAAGATGAATTCGGTCGAGTTTCTGATTCTAAGTACGGCAAAAAAAACGTATACATTTTATGTGTGTATTATAGCTGCAATCCACTAAATTAATCGGGAAAAGGAATAATGACCTGCGAGACTTTTTTTTTTTTTGAAGTATAATATTGTAAAGGCACGTTATATTATTATATTTGAAGATTGGGATACCTTTATATTCTAAATTTCTATTAGGAATAGGTATATATTATGGTACATGTGTAGAAATATGCAACTGACGTATAATAAGCTATAATAGCTATTTAGCTATAATATAGAGTAAATAAAGAAGACATAATTTATTATTATTATTATCATTATTATATCGATTATATTCGTCTAATTWAAGATTATATTTTCGTTTTTGATAATTTCAGAATTTTGATTGTAAACCTTTAACCTTCCATATTTATTTTTGTTTTTGGCTACATTTTATGAATGTAATGTTTTTTGTGTGTATGTGTGTGTGTATYGTTGGTGGTAGTCAAGTAGGTACTCCATATGATATATAGGCACGTTTATATGCTATACTTTAACAGCCATCGACCACTACCTGTACTGACTTCACCCGTAGCTATATCGTATTATCGTATATCGAAATCCACGAATTGTAATATAATCATATAAGTATAATAATAATAATATTATTATCCATCCATCCATAATCCTTACAATAATTGAGAATCGAGACGGCAAATCATGGAAAGGAGAAAAAATTCTTTTCATTTTATTTTTGCTATTTAACCTTTTAATGATTCAAATACGTTTATTTTTATTTATACTTTTTTTTTGACACTTGCCAATATAATATTTCAACGTAAATAAACCGCTCGCACAATAGGCGATCGACCGCAGACGACAGCTCGGTSGTGTTTAGAGGGTTGAATAAAATAAACTCGAGGTCGAGGTATTATTATCCGTTTCTCCGAATCTCCTAGTGTACATTATTATTGTTGCTATAATATATATTATATATATATATATACGTACGTACGTAGTGACTACCTATATAATATGCTTTCGGTGTGGCGCTAACTAGTTGTCTACCTCTCGTCAATCAACGATTCCCCCAATTCGACAATAATATTAAGCTAGCACTGTCCCTACAGACATACAGACAGCTGTTGTGATTTATTCTATAAATCGAAATGGTCCGATGAACGCACGTTCGTCTAAAGTAGCTTTCCATTTCCGATAAATGACTTCCATATAGTATGCGTGTGGTCCCCCTCTGTTGAATGTACGCGCCTATAATATGTCGCGGTGTTTTGTCGCGTGTAAACGTTCACTTACATTATATTAGCAGCGTACGTTATTTGGACCAATGTAAAATAATGGACCCTTCGCTATTCGCAGCCCGGACACGCGATTTAAGACTTCCACCGCCTAATCTTATGGTATTTTAATGGGCACTCCGCGGGGTCTAGATGAGTCATCCGCGAAGGGGAGAAAAACAAAATGAATAGGAAAGTGTGAACGTAAAATATGTTCTTTTTGTAATGTTGTAATACCTAAAAGTAAATATTAATTATTAATACATAATAACAAACATGATGTATGGCTTTTAGATTAATTACGCATTGCAAGTTTTAAATTAATTCTTATTTATATTTCAGGTGTTGGGTCTTTACGGAGGAGGGACGTGGGGGTCCGTCAAGACGTTGCTTGGAGCTGGGGTGGGGGGGCTCGGGCCTTTCCCTTGCAGAGAAAACGAACCATTTTGGAAGATGCCTCACAAAGGTAAGATTTGAATGATGTTATACAATACTTTATTAAAAAACAAAACTGCATAAGACATTATAAAATATAATAAATTAATGTACAAAAATGAACAAGAATATAAAATACAAAATATAATATATTTTTACACATAATCAGATTTCTATAGTCAGTACCTAGAAGTTTTTAACTTTTCATGACTTACGAAAAAAAAATTAAACTTAAATGAACTTTCGATCGTTGTCAAGTTTCGATAATATTATGCATTTAAAAGGAACGAGATTTACAACTTTTAAATTTAATTATAATATTAATTTTTTGTGGGTGGTGTCTACAATAGTAAAACAACATTAAATTAAATTAAATCAATGATTCTCAAGACTCTAAAATATGTTAGGTATTAATAGCCGATGCCGATGTTCAATATAAAAATCGAATATTTAATTGTAAATAATTTAGATACTTGATAAAATAGGGACTTAATTTATATTTTAAAATTTAAACACACATTTTGTCTATCTATTTTCGAGACGATGGACACTAATTAAAATTAATTAATTTTTGATTTAAAACAACGTGTATGATACAGATGGATATAGTATTGAATAAAGATTAGGTAGCTGTGAGTTGTGAATACTTATAGTGTTTAATTATTTCTTGTTTTTATTCAAATACTTTATTTATACATATTATATTTTATCAATATCATTGCCAACTATTCCGGTTGAGTATGTCTGGCCGACACATCGACGCACCGACGGAGACAAACTGAAAAAATAAAATCGTCTAACAGATCTTTGCGGCATGATTAATGGACATCAAGCATTTCAGAACGATTTTCAATCGCTGTGTTCTTACAAAATCTTTAAATCATCGTTGTTTATTTTTTTTTTATCCATAAAATATCGTCGTCCTTTTTTTCACTCGTATTATCGCGACAGATAGATTCAATATAGTATGACGCTTTTAATGACTAGATTTGATAAAGAAGGGGAAAATAAGAAGGAATACAAACCAGTTTTAATCAGTTGACATGTGACACTGAGTACACGAAAGGGACCGGGCCGTGTGCGGTTGTATAATATTATGAGATATTTGTCGGGGCTCATTTATGTATCGTGTTTCAGCGTTATTTTTTTCTTTTACTGCTCCCGCCTTACATGTGTGTAGTAGGTATGGGTATTATAAATATATATATATACACTTACGTAGGTACATGTTATATTTATTACTGCAGGTAAAAAAAAATATTGAATTATAAAATGAAAATATCTTAATAACCTTCCGTGCGCATATAGATACGTACAAAAAACATGTAAAAGCAGTGCGTCTTCGTCTACGCGCGTCTATATCTCTGTCTAAGCGTATACAAACACGCCGCCCCGTAGTCCGGTTTACCCGACACGAACCGTCACCACTACCTCCACTCGCTCTTCGACTAAGTCTACGACATCGAAACGAATCCCTTGTCGAAACTAAAACATTAGACTATATATAGAACATCGTTTGTCATTCGACTCCAGAGCGGCGGACGCACAATTCTCATCAAAATTGAAAATAACCCCATGTAGTGCGTTCGATCGATATGATTACACTGTACTTATTATTACATTTATATGATGGCGTTAAAACTGTTTAAAAAATGTAAACCGTTTTAAAATTTAAAACGCTCGCACTATGTAGTTTAAGAATTTCAAACCATTTTAACGCCATTATATAAACGTAGTACCTATAAGTCTCAACATTTAAAAAAAAATCCGTTTTTGTTTTCAGTTTTAAAAATAAAACTGAAATAAGTTTATTGTTCTTTATAAACTGTCAATTTGTTTAATGTTTCTGACAGTGTACCGTACATAATAAAAAGTATATTAAACTATAAATATTTCATTCACATATTCACGTATTGATATTTGACATTTGATAAATACTCTATGTATACGTTTTTTTAAAGGCTTAGTAAGAAATAAGAATAGAATTTCGGATTCTAAGTTCTAAAGACTTGCTATTGATTTTTCTGTTCATCATTTATTATAATGATAAAGTACTATATTATTTTCTTGTTCATATGGTAGGTAGGAAGGTATAGTCATTACTTTTATGGAAACCTATAATAGATTAAATTATATGACATACCTATGTACTATAGTTCTACTGTGCACATATCATATGCCTTTTTTTTTTTCCGTTCAAAAAACCAGGAACGGGTGGGAAATGTTTAGCACAATACTGCCACCCTCATACATATCATATACCTACAACACTTCAAGAACAATGTCAAACGAATTTTATAAAATGTTAAATGTTAAAGTAAAAATATATACAAATAAATACCACAAAAGAACGATATATATTTAGACCACACGCGCGCAGTATGGGTCCACATTACTTCCTTTCAATGCCATACAAATGACCTTAATAGTGTCATCGAAAACGACCCAAAAGAAGGATATTATATTCACAGTGTAACTTGTCTTCAATACCGCAGCGTTATGTACCTTATGTATCTACCATATATTGGTGCATATACTAATATTGAGTGCTAATACCTGACCTGGAAAAAATAATATACTTAATGAGCTCAGACTGAGTACAAATGAAAAATTTACTTATTGAGTCCAATAATTATTTTGAGTAAAATCTAAGATCAACCATCACATATATGGAGATAACGATAACTATACGTGATAATGTTCATATAATTTKACATATTTACGGTATAATAACACGATTTGAAAATGCACAATTTAGACAATTTATTTATACCTGTATGTATATATATAAATGTATTTAAATAGTAATAACATTTTTAGCCATGCTTATACAATTTTTTGTCACTGGCTGTTCTGACTGCTAAGTCTGTTAAAAATTGTAAGGAATATATTTTTTTTTAGAGTTTAACGAGACTCGTTTAGTGTTAGAACATGAACTCAGTACTAATTAGATATACATTTAAAATTTCACAGGACTCAATTGGTACATATACTTACCTTAAAACCACCCGTGATTCAGTTCGTTTTAAAATGATTTATTGAGACTCAGTTTATATGTAGCCAACTACACTGCACACACACACATATATATATATATAGGTCAAGGCATCTTTGGGAATTTAATCGATCGCGGGTAATCTGTTCCCCCTATATGTTTATCGCCCGCAGGATTCCCCACAGACAGGTGTGTGTGGCGCGCGCGTAGGCGTATAATAATATAAGAGGCTTTCGAAGGGGCTTGTAGCATAGATTTTTCCATCTCCGATTATCACACCTGCAGAACAATGATGGCGAAACCGCACCACGTTTTCTGCCTTTATATTGTATAATAACCATTTAACATTGAGCCCTGTCGGAACTACATCTCTTGTTCGATTTTTTCTCTCTTATATTTTTGTTTATCGCGCGAAGGGTTAATCTTAACACAATAGGAGTATTTTTCGGCTTCTAAAGCACGGCCCATTCACGCGTGTACACATTTACACATTTACTGAACTGATCGTAAKTATTGCGAGGTCACCCAATACTTTAGGCTTGTTTACTTGATTACGGCGCTTAAGTGTTGTACGAAATCTAGGTTGTTACCTATAGTTCTACCAACTCAGCTGACTGAACAAAAACTTTCAAGTCCAACGAATAGATATATACAATATAATGTTTGCTCGGCAAGATTGTATAACATAGAGGTATACCTACTATTGATGCTTTCATGTTGCATTTTCCGGGACTTTGGAAAGTTTCACTGATCGTATAGTAATCAGTAATCACAACATGTCAATGTTGCTACCAATTCTTTGGTAAGATTATGCTGTCTTTGACGTCGCACAAGTTGTCAGATTATTGAACACGATTATATAGTATTATACCGTCTATTTATAACCGCAGACGAGGCTGTATAACCACTGTACTTTCTTTGTATTTGCTACAAATTAATATCATATATGCCTACATTGATAGATCTTCTAAAGTATAGTTGCATTGATATATAGGCATAAACCTCTGTAGTTTTAAAATATAATATGGTATACCTACCAGTAAAACGCATCAGTATAGGTACAACAGGCATGTATTTCGTACAAATCGATAATGTCTTTGTTAATGATTTGTGATAAAGTTTCATATCAAGTAAAGAATTCCAACTCTTTCAATATGACGTATTATTATTGATGTTATGAACTTCTGATTCAACTCTATTATCTTTCTTCTGTGAATAATCAAATAATTTTTATTTGATTTATAAATTATACGCATATATTAATTATATAGTGTATAGGTTAGGGATATTTTATTTCATAAATCATTAACATTATGTATTATTTTTATTTTCTCTAATAAGATTTTACCAAATAATATTAAGGAACAACCACGATAGATTAAAAATGTATAGTTGGTAAATTTAATTTTACTTTTCCCACAGGTCGTACCTTTGTTTGTACCGCAAATTTGTTAGGAAATCGAAAGTTTACAAAGAGTTAATAATTTATTATAAATTAACAAATAAAGTAAATTCAATTGCAATAAAAATATAGAAAATAAAATAAGTCATTTAATTCATACAAAATATTAAAATAGTGCGGTATTACGAAAAACGTATTTAAAAAATTTACCCTCGTGAAAACAGCAGGCATTTCCATTGCCTCCTACCTAAATTACTAAGGAAAGAAAACGTAGTGGAATTAATGAAAATCTAATTAACTTTTATTATAAATATAAATCACTTCTGAAGGTCTGAAATCGATACTAAAGAACGAATATACTTGTAATACCTAATATATTTCATTCATTTATAATATGTAGGTACTCTATATTTTTTAGCTTAGTCGAAATAAATAAATGTCAACGCGATTGTATTTTTTGTATATAGATTGTACATTTCTTCTATTTTAATAAAAAAAAAGCGGGTAAGTCGTGGATGTCGCTCTGCTGTACAGTAGGTTACTTTAATGGATGGAATTAAATTTGAATCCAATGATATTATATCATTGTATACGAAAAACGATTCTGAGCGGAGACGGTTTATCTGTTAAGGAT